GAATATTTATGCAAATGGTGAAGTAAATAATATTCTACAGAAAATAATTTACTTTAGCACTTTAGAAATCGTGTCAAATTTAAAATTCCATCTCTCATATATCAGAATTATTAAGAGAAAATATGTAGTTTTCGTATAATTTTTAATGTTAGCAGAGAATATTATGAAAAATCTAAATGGAATACCTTTACCAACGATGATATTCACCAAATTCCAATGTGAAACCGCGATTTATTTGGTTAGACATCTGACAAAGAAATATTGACATTCTGATTTTAGCTGATAAAATATAAAAATATTTCTCAGGTTTTTCTATTTATCAACGTTAACTATAGAAAGGTTGAATAAAGAAGTTGATCTTGCNCATCTCTCAACACCTGATCACAAACCTGCCAATAAGCCCCCTTAGTGCCCACAGGTCGTAAAGAGTAATACTTTTTGCTGTTTAGAGGATGGTTTTTCCTATACCAATTATGGGTTCGGCCAAGCCCGCATTGGGAAGGATGAAGTACAACGTATTCAAGAGAGATTATCCACGAAAAATTAACTCGGGGTTGCTTGCCTGGATTCGATCCCGGGTCCCTCAGAGTAACAAGCTGACCTCTTACTGCTCTAGCTACCGGTCATCTAATAACTTAGCTATAAATAAAATAGAAATAGAATTTCATAAAGTTTTGTGAAGTTTTATCTTCTATGAATTATTTAAAATTTCGTTTGTTTATAGAATGAATAATTTTAAAATAAATATTATGAATATAAAACAATTGATGGTATACAGAAATATAAAACTTTCATAGAAATTATTATTATAAAATCATTTTCATAAATAAATACAATATTATAAAATGTATAAGTCCAACGAACAGAAAAAATTTATAATGTTTTCCTTGAAAGATTTCAATGTATTGTATGAAAAATTTATAATATTTTTTAAACCTATTTAATTCTTAATAGTATTTTAAATTCGTATATTTTCGAAAAATTTGATCTTTTGGGAATATATTATTTGATTTTAAATAATTAAAAAGTTTATTATTATTATTTTGAATTTGATCATAACGAAAATTTATTCCAATTACTGTATATGTATATATATAATATTAATCCGTTTCTACTGGAGACGAATCGGGAAATTTTTGATTAAAATAGAACAAAAAATATTTTTAATGTCTATAAAATCTTATAACTAAGTTAATATAAATACTGAAATATAATGATTAATTTAATTTAAAAATTCAGAAAGTATTTTCTCTAACTAGAAATTGCTTCGAGGAGAAATTTTATTTTAATAAGTTCTTGTAGTTTAAATTTTGTATACAAAAAAGATAATTCTAACTAAAAATTCTTTTATTAAAGTAAACAATAGAAAAAGAATTTCAGATGATTAAATGCATTTTATTATAAAAATTGTAATATATTAATTAATGTATGATACAAATTTTCTGATGGTACTATTGAATATGAATTGGCATATAGTTGCCAACTGGCAAAATTTACTTTATCCATAACTTTGAAGGATGAAAGTACAACCTTTCGCTGCCAAATTCATCAGAGTGAATTGTTTTGTTTCATTGGATTTTTATTTTTTTTAATAGTTTAAATATTATTTTCATTTCATTCACTTAACTTTTGATTTATGATACGTTCGTAGCGAAAGCATCTATAAGAGTGCAAGGTCTCTGCAAAAGAAAATAAAAACTTTATATCAGTTTATTTTTAGAGTTTGATGAAATTTTGCAAAAAATATCAACAAGAAATTATTAGCATATTTTAAAGTTGGTTTACATTCAGAACGATTAGAATATTTTAGAATTGGGATAAAGCTTCCGATAGCTAAATCGCGTGTCTTCATTGGAATGTTAACTAGCTTTAAAAAAAAACTTTATAAGTAGATTCAATCGGTTATTTTTGTATATTTACCTATAATTTAATTTCCAATTGAAGTTTTATTTATTGTATTTTTTTCAATAACTTAACATGAAACAGTCATCAATATATTTAAAGAAATTTTGATAAAAAAAAAAGGAATTTATGATAGCACTATGATTTTTTGATGAAAAATTTTCTACGTGTATGCCAAAGATCAAGTTTCTATTTTTATATTTTTCAATTTTGTCTATTAGTTTTATCGATCTTCAGTTTTTCTAAGTCAATCATATCAGAAAGAGATGTGGCTGGTAGCTTATGGCTACCTACATTTATATAAGTACGAAATAGTATGCAGGATATTTTCAATATAATATTGAATATGTGTTGGCATATATTTTATATATTATAAAATCAGTTTTCTGAGGTTTTCCTTTTAACTTCGAAAGAAACATTTGATAATTTATGTTGCAGTGTTTTTTAGCGAATTAAAAATTATTTAAAATCTTCAAAGCTTAAAAAACAAAAACAAGGATATTTTGTTCTGTGGACTTTTTATTTAAGAATTTTATACAAAAATTATAGCCGACCGCTACAAATTTTTATATTTTCCTCCGAGAATTGACCCTATAAATCTTTGGTGGTAACATTCGCCCGTTTAATTTTTCATGTGTCATTTTCGCATGGTTAATAACAAAGTGTAGTAGATGCATTATCAGAAGATTTTCACGTAATTAACTTTTCATTCCAGATTGAAGGCGAAAGACAATTATAAAAAAAAGAAAAAGCAGCCATAACACCCTATTTTTCTCGCTTATAAAAATACAAAGATACAGTATACGTCAATAAATTATAATTTTATCTGTATAATATTAATAACNTAATAACAAAGTGTAGTAGATGCATTATCAGAAGATTTTCACGTAATTAACTTTTCATTCCAGATTGAAGGCGAAAGACAATTATAAAAAAAAGAAAAAGCAGCCATAACACCCTATTTTTCTCGCTTATAAAAATACAAAGATACAGTATACGTCAATAAATTATAATTTTATGTGTATAATATTAATAACAATTTTAATTAACGATAGGATTATTTATTTATTTATTTAGTTATATTTGATAAATGTATTTTGATTAGGTGGATTCGGTAGAAAATTATATTAATACTTCTAGGATTACAAATACAGTACACATGCATTTATTTATTTTTCATTTTTTTTAATTTTAATTTTATTATATATTATAGCATGCATATTTCTTTCGAGAATTTTCTAGGAATAAAAATAAACAATAAAAATTTAAATATGAACTATCCTATCTTAAAATTCTGTATTCCAGATTTGAAATATTTAGAGGGCGCTTTTGTTCACTTTAATGTTTACCACGTGGTCGTGATGTTTGTCTTCAATGCTAGCTCTTTTTTTTTTCATTCAGTAGTCTGAATTATTTTTATTACAATTTTAATGATGTAATTGTTTTTGAATCTTGTGTAAACATTAAGTATAGATAATATTTTTTTTGCTAGACTTTTATGTAATAATACTTTAATGAAATGTTACATTGCATTTTTACTTTCAGAGTGAATTATTAAACTATATTTTAAAATATAACAAATACTGCATATTTTATTCAGCAATTTTGACGTGAAATTATGCAAAGGAAGACATTTTTCTTTTTATGTATTTTATGGAAGATGTTGATAAAACAAGTATTCCATGTATATAATGTTGTTTATATCTCTGGTAGCTTGGTTTGGCTTCAGGGTACATCTGTCACTGTCAAAAGTAAAAGAAACCTATAACTGTTGTAAAGATTCATAACAGAAACTTCTTGCTTCCTGCATTACATAGGATATATGTATACTGTATAAGCAATCAAAGCAGTCACTAATAGTTTTTATAAGAAGTATGATTTATGGATTAGTAAGACTTCACTACAATAATAATAAAAGCATTTTTAATTTTTATATAATGCTTTTATAATCTTATGGATAGTTTCTATGAAGTTACTTAAATTTCACTTAAACTATTGTATATTGTGATTAACTGTAGTAATATTTTATGACATTATTCTGATACTAAAACACTATTCAAATTACAGTTATATAATTTTAAAACAAAGTTTGTTTAAAAAATTTAAAATTTATGATTTATGTATTTTTAGCATTTGTTTATATTAATTTTTGTGCACTTAAAAAAATATATATAAATTGATCTGGATGAATAAAATTATATATCTGTTTAAAAGTGATTATTATTCTTTTTTTAAAAATATGATAAAAATTTTATTATAAATTTTATAAAAATCTTATGGAAATTTAAGTAAGAAAACAAATTTTGTTCATCATTGATGGAGTTCTTGAAACTCTCTGCCCATTATAGAGTATAATTAGAGTTGTTGACAACCTGTCAAGACAACAAAATGTTATGACACAGAAACAGATGATGATAATGATGGCGAAAAATGAATAATTTCTTATTTTACTTGTTTCAGAAAGTAATTAAGGGTAAATTCCATCATTAAGTTCTTGTTCTGATTTTAAGTTGTTGGTATTTACATGAGCTTTTTATATTTATTTTAAAGGTATTTTTGAAAAATTTTAATAGTTTTGTCTTCTTAAAAAATAAAGTTGAAATTTTGTTCAAATAGAATTAGCATTATTTTATCTACTGAAATTGCTATTACTGTACTTTCTCTTTGCAAGAATTTTAATCCAGTAATATATTATTAAGTTCCAGTGAAATTATGAATAAATTTGTTTAATTTAAATTTTTATAAAGCTGATGAAAAGTGAAAAGCTTAGAGCTATAATTTTTATGGAGAAACTTTTTGAAATAAAAAAATGTTCTTAAGCTATATAACTTAATGTTTTCAAATAAAATTTTTAACTACACATAATAAATACACTGTCAGAATTTATAATAGATTTTTATAAGTCAGTTGTCATCTCTATATCATTTTTTTTTTATCTATAGTTATGTTTTTATGAAGTAAGAATGTAAATGATGATTCAGATATTCAAAATAAATAAATATGCAATATTCTATTCTAAATTTATATAGATTTTTAAAACTTTTAAAATATTTATTTATTCATAATCTAAAATACTGAAATTATATGTATTATTTTAGGTGACAGACTTATTTTCCGCAATGGTGATGGACATCTTGTTGTTTATTCACCAAAAACAAGAAAATATAGAATTTTGGTACATAATTCAACATTTGTAAGTATATAAACTGTAGTCATTATTCCATTCTCTTTCTTTTTCTCTTTTCTTTTTATTTTAATAATAAAATATCAAACGTCCGAATTTATACATTCGAAACTATACCTTACCATATAATTTTTATTTTTATTTTATTTTAGGAGGATAACAAGATAGAAAAGTATAGTGTATCTGCTGATATGCAGTATGTATTGTTAATACATGATATTATTAAAGTAAGTATATATAATACCTGTTATCTATAAATTTATGTATATATAAAATATAATATATTGAATACACAGTTTTTATTTATTTTATTTTAAAATTTTTCAGATTTTTAGACATTCCTTCATTGCAAAATATAAGATATATAATGTGACAAATAGGTATTCAAATTATATTTCTTTTATAATTTAAATTATCTTTAAAATTTTAGTTAATTGTAGTTAAATTTTATGTGTTATTCATAAGTTGATTATGATTAATAACTTATATTAAAATTAAAAAAAAAATTATCTGTAAATTTTCAGGCAAATAATTCCACTTATTCATGCTGACAATCCTGAAACTTTTCTCCGTTATGCTGGCTGGGGTCCAAAGGGAAATCAACTGGTAAGTAGTTCACCTTAACATTGTTGGATATTCTTTCTTTTGGCTGATTTGACAGGTAATGTGTACTAGTCAAAGATGAGGTATCATTTGTATCAACATTAATAATTCAGAATAAAGCTGCTGGACTGATTACTTTGTCTGACGTTTTACTGCCGAACCAAAGTAGAGTTTTAGGAATGGGCAGTTAATTAAATTTAGAGTCACAGGAGAGGCTTGTCATCATAGTGATATGTAGGCAATAACTGATGACCTTCTGCAACTGGCATGTCACTTGAGAACTGGAGTAGAAGGAGAGTTGTTCCAGCTGGCTGAATGTAATCTGCACATGTAACTAAACTTCTCTTCACAATAAATTAGAAACTCTTGTGATTGTGTAGTCCTCCATAGCAATTTTCAAATAGTAAGATGGTAAAGTATTAGCAGTCACAAAACTTCCTTCTTTCTGATATATTTCATTTCCTGGTTCATTTATCTATATATAAATTTGGATTTAGAACAGGCTTTTCATAATTAGAATTTTAAAATGAAATAACTGCTTCATTGAATTTTTAAAAATCAAATAACATAAATAAATTTATAAAAATGTATGAAATGCCATAACTAATTACATATCATAAATTTTACATTTTTTTTTTCTTTCTTTCAAAGTGATGCTGGTTAAAAGAAATAATAATAAATATATTAGACATCTGTCACAACAATTATTTTACATAGTTGTTATGAATTTTAATACATATATTTTTTTTCATTTATGTAGAATTTCTGTAAAATATTAACTAAATTTTTATACTCTTCTAATTGTATTTATAAATAAGCAAATGTTTAACTTTTATTTTATTCTAGAAAAGGAAATGTAAACATTTATTTAATATATTATGTCTAGGATATTTTAACAAATCTTTGTTTCATTACATTTAAATTCTCACAATCAAGTAACAAAGTTCTGGTTTTATTGCCACACTTTAAAGATTTCTTACACATTAAAGTTGTTTCTATAAAACAAATTTGTCTTACTATCTAGTAATATAATTAAAATTGAAATTTTGTATGTCTAAGTTTATATGAGGACTGCATAGTCTAAACTCTTTTCCATTTTAGGTTTATGTATATGCTAACAACATTTACTACCTCACGAGTGTCTTTGACACTGCTCAGGCTATCATTGGTACTGGTCTTGAGGGAGACATATTCCATGGAGTTCCTGATTGGCTGTATGAAGGTAGGTAAAATATATAATTAAATTTGATTTTTATTGAATCATAAACCATTTATTTTATCTTTATGTTAAATATCAAGATATTATAAATTTTATAAAAATCTTATGGAAATTTAAGTAAGAAAACAAATTTTGTTCATCATTGATGGAGTTCTTGAAACTCTCTGCCCATTATAGAGTATAATTAGAGTTGTTGACAACCTGTCAAGACAACAAAATGTTATGACACAGAAACAGATGATGATAATGATGGCGAAAAATGAATAATTTCTTATTTTACTTGTTTCAGAAAGTAATTAAGGGTAAATTCCATCATTAAGTTCTTGTTCTGATTTTAAGTTGTTGGTATTTACATGAGCTTTTTATATTTATTTTAAAGGTATTTTTGAAAAATTTTAATAGTTTTGTCTTCTTAAAAAATAAAGTTGAAATTTTGTTCAAATAGAATTAGCATTATTTTATCTACTGAAATTGCTATTACTGTACTTTCTCTTTGCAAGAATTTTAATCCAGTAATATATTATTAAGTTCCAGTGAAATTATGAATAAATTTGTTTAATTTAAATTTTTATAAAGCTGATGAAAAGTGAAAAGCTTAGAGCTATAATTTTTATGGAGAAACTTTTTGAAATAAAAAAATGTTCTTAAGCTATATAACTTAATGTTTTCAAATAAAATTTTTAACTACACATAATAAATACACTGTCAGAATTTATAATAGATTTTTATAAGTCAGTTGTCATCTCTATATCATTTTTTTTTTATCTATAGTTATGTTTTTATGAAGTAAGAATGTAAATGATGATTCAGATATTCAAAATAAATAAATATGCAATATTCTATTCTAAATTTATATAGATTTTTAAAACTTTTAAAATATTTATTTATTCATNTATAACAATAGTTGATATCACTTTATCTTGGGATAAATTTAAGTGAAAACTATATCTTATTAAATATTATCAACATACAAAAGAAATAAAAGATAAAAAGCTGTTAAATTAATATAAAAAATAAAAGTAATTTGCCACAATGTAAGAAGTTAATCATACAGGGTGAGTCAAAAGTCACTTTACCATGGTAAGTTTCTTTTTAACATTATAATGTACACATCTTGGAGATTTTTTTGGCCTAAACATGAAAGATAACATCTTTTAAATGACCCTCGTTTTCCTCTTCACAAAGGTGAGTTCTTTCAAGCAGTTATGGCACACTCCATAACTGCTTGCAAAGTGACTCTGTTTATCATTCGAATTTCCTGACAAATATTGTCCTTCAGCTCAGCAAGAGTTCAGGACTTATTAATAAACACTTGCTGTTTCAAATATCCCCATAAAAAGAAACCTGAGCAGAAATTACAATGTATGCTCTCTGAGTAAGAACAATGAAGTGTTGATGTTCAAAGTAAAACTCAATAAGTTTTACACATTGTTCTGTCATTAATTTACTCATAATTTATTTCTGAATTCTGTATTTTAAAAACCTGAAAAAAATATATATAATAATAGCAAAAAAGTTATTTAATTTTTAAGTGGTAAAGTGACTTTTGGCCCACCCTATAGTTTACCATACCTTATATGATTATCAATCTGCTTGTATTTTTTGCTAAAAGTAAATGGATAATTTTAGATGATTGAAGTTTTTTATTTTCATATATTTTTAAAAAATATTGTTGAGAAACATATTATTTAATACTTTTAAAAGCAATTTAATGCATTAAAAAACATTAAACAATAACTTTTTATTATCCAGTTGTGATTTTAAAAATTTATCATCTCTAGAGGTTTGATTTCGTCAGTTTTATTTCCTTATACATACATATACTGGACATACACATGTATGAATGACCTGACTAGTTATGTTAATTAAATATATGACTTACAAAAAACTTAAAAACTTTTATTTAAAAATAAAAAATGTTTATTATTGTAAATTTTACAAAATTTCTTATTTGAAAATATATTTCAAAATTATTTATTAGATTAATCATAAATTACATTAGTGACTTAAGTGAAGTGCATTTTCATAAAATAAACAATTTATGTCAAATTGAATTAAGTTAAGGAAGTTGTAAAATTTTATATTTTTGCTAGCTCTTGTCTTTTCATACGTTATATAAAGACAGTAAGTTGAAGCATTTTGTATAATAAATTACCAAAATATTGTAAATAAAGTTAATAACTTCTAAAATTTGAATTAAAGTACTACAAAATAGACATATTTATGATTAAATAATATAAAGTTTTATTAGAATAATAATAATAATTTAAATTATAAATACATGTTTAAAGTGAATGCATAAATTATATTAACTTTAAAATGTAGTATTTTTTTTTTTAAACTTTGCAGAGTGAAATAAGTATTATTATAATAAACATAAACTTTTTTTATTTATGTATACAAATTCAATATACCAAATATCTTATTTCTGTATTCATTTATGTATTCAATTTTTATATTTATTTATGTGCTCATTTATTTATTCAAATTTAATATATCTTACATCTCATTTTTATATCTTATTTTCAATAGGGGCTGCATTAATTGCCTAATAAGCATACTTTATCTATAACATAGCAGATATAATACAGCATTTCAAATAAAAATAATATACATTAAAATTAGAAACAAAAATAGTACAGTGCTTCAGATAAAATTATTTAATTTTGCTCAGTTGTTCTTTTATATTAAAGTAAATAAGATTATTTTTTATGCAATTCAAATTATTATTTTTATATTGTATTAAATAATTTAGATTATTTGTTATACATTACAATATATATATAAAAAAAATATTCTTAAGTATTANGGACAAGGCTAACACCAAATTTGTACTGCATTGAATAGACTTGTGACGATTTAGATTAAAAATTTAAATGTAATCTATTCTGTTCATTTATAAATGATTTAAAAATAAAACCTAGAATGAGAATTAAAACAGTATTCATTAAGTCAACATTAAGACATCTGTTATAATGGATAGATTTTGAATTAGATCATAGTGATCCAAAAAGACTGTTATAAAAATATTTTTGCTTGAATAAAACAATGTTAGTTTTCAGTTGTGTTAGGAGAGTAGTTATGTATTTAAAATAAGTGATAACTTATTTATATATGTAAAAAAACCATATAACAAAAATAATGTCNGCCTAAACATGAAAGATAACATCTTTTAAATGACCCTCGTTTTCCTCTTCACAAAGGTGAGTTCTTTCAAGCAGTTATGGCACACTCCATAACTGCTTGCAAAGTGACTCTGTTTATCATTCGAATTTCCTGACAAATATTGTCCTTCAGCTCAGCAAGAGTTCAGGACTTATTAATAAACACTTGCTGTTTCAAATATCCCCATAAAAAGAAACCTGAGCAGAAATTACAATGTATGCTCTCTGAGTAAGAACAATGAAGTGTTGATGTTCAAAGTAAAACTCAATAAGTTTTACACATTGTTCTGTCATTAATTTACTCATAATTTATTTCTGAATTCTGTATTTTAAAAACCTGAAAAAAATATATATAATAATAGCAAAAAAGTTATTTAATTTTTAAGTGGTAAAGTGACTTTTGGCCCACCCTATAGTTTACCATACTAGATTTTCTTTTTGTGTTTGTTTGTATTTATTTATATTGTATTTCAAAATTATGAATATAAATCTTCAAATGAAGTCTTAATCAATATAAGATTTTCTAAATGTGTTTATGTAATTATTAATTTGATGTAATCTTAATTTGTCAAATAAATTATAGAATAGTTTTTTATATCATAAAAAATACAATATATTTTGAGAAAGTACTTATTATGTTTTTATATTTTATAATGTAAGAATTTATTAAACAAATTAAATTTAAAGTGTAGATGGAAATTTAATATAAATATACATATTAAAAAACTTATTTGATTAGTGTTTTCAAATTTTATGTTGATTTACTATACCTGAAAGTAAATATTTGAGTGTTTAAAGAACATTAATATCTTTAAATTATGTAAAGCAAAATCTTAGATAATGATACTGTTATAGATACATTACAGATAAGACTAATATTTGCAGTTGTATATTTAAAATTATAGTTATTGACTTATTTAAATGAAATTATAAATGAATTTTATCAATTAATTGCAAGTTGATGTTCTTTGAATGAAAATTTTATGATAATATTTTTATTAATTTTTTTTTTGTTTGACTTAACAAATACAATAAATTCTTTTCATTTTCTGAATTCTATGAGAAAACATTATTTAAAACATTGCTTAAATATATTGTATATGTTTTAAATAACATTTTGATATTTTAATTATTTTTATGTAAAATTTAAGTCTTCAGTAACAGCCATAAACTAATTTTGTTGCAATCCAGCAAACATTGTAGTGATCCAAGATCAAATATTTAATGTGTCTTTTAATTCAATGTAGGATGAATCAGTCAATATATATTATGACAAATATATTTAAAATTTGTTACAGTGAAAGATTAATATATTTATTTTATTCTAAATGTTAAATAAAAACAAAATAAAATTAACCTGAGTAAAAATTTAATATGATTTAGATTAAAAATTTAAATGTAATCTATTCTGTTCATTTATAAATGATTTAAAAATAAAACCTAGAATGAGAATTAAAACAGTATTCATTAAGTCAACATTAAGACATCTGTTATAATGGATAGATTTTGAATTAGATCATAGTGATCCAAAAAGACTGTTATAAAAATATTTTTGCTTGAATAAAACAATGTTAGTTTTCAGTTGTGTTAGGAGAGTAGTTATGTATTTAAAATAAGTGATAACTTATTTATATATGTAAAAAAACCATATAACAAAAATAATGTCAAATATGTCAAAGTATAAATACTAAAAATTATGATTATTTATATATAAATGTAAATTGTTGGAATTTTCAATAACAAAGTTATGAATAAGTTAAATATACAATGTCTAAAATAATTTATAGAAATTTCTGTTGATAAAATAGTAAATATAAGTATAAAATTGTTTGTCATGCA